TAAACAGTTTTATATCATATATTGAACTAAAGTTTATCTCATTTAATATGAAATAGTGATAGAATTATTGATAACATATCTATAAAGTTGATATAAATTATGGTTTTGTGGTAATTTTTATGATATCTATTAACAATAAATAATTCAATATAAATATAAATAATTATTATTAGTGTCTATAAGAAATAAAAATAATATATAATCAAAATTGTTTATAATTCTTAAAATCAATTAATATTTTTCAAATTGTAAAGATTTAAAGAAATAAAAAATTATTAAAAATAATAAATTATAAATAAAATATTTAAAATATATTCATTGTCGAAATACCCTGTTTTATATTTGAGACAACAGTATTGAGTTATAATTTAAAACTTATAAATTATAAGAAACAATTAGTTTAACTAACCTTTGAATTGAGATTTGATATAAATGTAAAAAATACACAATAATTATATTTATTGCACTCAAATCAGTGTCAAAGCTTAAACACTTTAAAAAATATTTGATATAAATCAAAATTCATTATTCAAATATTTAATAAGGATTTTAAACAAATATTGTTTAACAATATGAGTGATAAAATTGACCGCAGATTAGCACTGATTAACACCTAAACATCAAAACTCAAATCAATATCAATTCCTATCATTAAATATATGATTAGACATGAGATATGATATGAATTACGGTTAGAACCGGTATAGCACTGTAGGCCTGGAGTAAAAGTTTATGAATATCTGGTTTATTCTGGTTTAATGTGAAACATCACTGCATACAAGGTTTCAAACTTTTTGTACTGTTATATCCTTACAGTGCATTCAAATATTCAATTTTTAACCAACAACTTTTTCATAAAAAGTAAAATGTTAATTTAAGTTATAACAAATAATTATAAATAATGCACATATTATATGTATTGTCTTAATAATTATTATTCATATAACAGTAAGCATAAGTTAAAATAAAGCAAATGTTACATTTAAAGTAATACCTTTAACAACGATGATAAAGGATTTAATACAATGTAATGTACAACGTACAATGTAATGATTGTATGAATCAATTCAAAAGTAATATTACTTTTAAATTGAAAAAAGCGCTCAAATTATCACAATTTGAACGTAATTTCTGTGAAAAAGTTTTATTTATAAATATTAAGTGATATTAAAAAACGTGACAAACGTTTGGTTTTTGACAAATTGAAGACAATTTGTGGTTAAGATAATGGCATCACATGAGACACCGGCGACCACTTCTTCGGCGGCTGAGAAGACGTCGAGCGACGAGAAGAAGCGTCCGATTTGTGTAATACTGTTAGGAATGGCCGGAAGCGGGAAATCAACTCTTTGTGGCAAACTTTGTGAACACCTCTTCGCCAAGAAGTCGATGCCATATGTGGTTAACTGCGATCCGGCGGTTGTGTCCACGCGTTTCCCCACAAACATCGATATCAGAGATACAGTCAATTACAAGGAAGTGATGAAACGATACAAATTAGGTCCCAATGGAGCCATCATTACGTGTCTCAATCTGTTCGCCACTCAATTGGATCAAGTGATCCAATTGGTGGACAAGAGGGCAGACACTCACGAGTAAGTGTTTGCGATTGACGTGTGTTCTTGAGGTGTGTTATAACGGATCTGATTGTTTGCAGATATGTGTTGTTTGACACTCCGGGACAGATAGAGGTGTTCACGTGGTCGGCGTCGGGCGCTATAATGACGGAAGCGTTGGCCGCGCGCTTCCCGACAGTTATTGTCTTTGTTTTGGACACAATTCGTAGCGAAAATCCGATAACTTTTATGTCAAATATGTTGTACTCGTGTTCTGTTGTCTATAAATACAAACTCCCGATAATTATAGCAATGAATAAATGCGATGCCATTGACTGCAAGTTCGCCATCGATTGGATGAAAGACTGGCAGCTGTTCCAGGAGGCCATCGAGAAGGAGACCTCTCATATGGCAAACCTGACCCGATCTATGGCTTTGGTTTTGGACACATTCTACGAGAACTTGAAGGCTGTGGGCGTCTCCGCCACCACTGGTCAGGGATTAGACGAACTCATGGATGCCATCAAAGAGGCGGCCGTTGAATACGAAAGGGATTACAGACCCGAATACGAGCGCATCAAACGTGAGGCCGAAATCGCACGAAACAAACAACGAGAACAACACATCCAGAAAGTGAACAAAACTGAAGAATTGCTCACTTTTGGCGACCCATCGGCCACTGCTCGTAGGGATCGTAGGGATGACAGCGATTCCGATTCAACCACTGATCACGAGTTAGATCCTGTGGAGGAAGAGGAAGAAGGTATGCATTGCGTCAACAATTCTCTGCTATGAGACATGTCTTAACTTTATCTCATTTTTTAGACGAAAACGAAAAGAAAGAATACGAAGAATTCAAGAAAACTTTATTAACACAAAAATCACCAAAAAGTTAACTCATTATCTTTTTCATAAAATATTCACAACAAATTTGTTAATTATGTAATTTACTAATCATTTTTGTAAAATAAATTTTTTATAAATGTAAATTTAAATATATTTTAAATGTATTTTTTGCATTAAAAAACAAATTGCGAATAAATAACGATTCAATGCGTTGTGTAATTATATTTCATTTATTTCCTCATTTGTTATAAAATTTGTTATTATCTAGATTATATTAATGTTGAATTGTTGAACATTTGTTGAATTGCAGACAATATAATGTAAATATCAGTTAATTAGTATTAAAATTGATTTAATCCAGGATTTAGTTTAATACAGTATTTATTGTACACTTTAATCGTATTTTAATCGTATATACAAAATGACATTTTAAATACAAATGATTAATACAATATTATTAAAACCTTATCTCATAAACACTTGACTCTCAGACATTGATAATATATTTGTACATTATTTAAGTTTGAATTGCACTTAAAATGTGTACGTTTTTATAAATATCAATACATTTTAAAAATATACTAAAATGTGAAATATTAATAATAATTAATTATTATAAAGACATTTCTTTATTTTGTCATTTAAGACAAATATTATAGTAATTGATAGTTAATGAATAAATTAATAACAATATTGTTCAGCCATAATATGTATTAATGAAGGCCTTTAACAATGAATTAACATATTGTTATTTTATATACAAATTATTGCAAGTTTTGGCTCAAAGTTTGAAAAGTGAAGAGAAATGTCTGATAGTATTGGGACCGAGAATGAGATGAATGCTATTTGTCGGATATGTCTGGAAACAGATATGATCTCAAGTCTGACCACTCCCTGTCAGTGTAAGGGAACCGCTAAATACGTTCACATGAAATGTCTTAAGAGATGGCTTATATCGAGGCGAACAAACCGAACGGGAAGACCGCCGAAGAAGTGTGAGATCTGTCGATCAGATTATATCTATGTCTATAAGAACCGAACCGATAGAGTGTTGGCAGTTATTGACGACAAATGGCAAGCCTTTCATCACTTTGTATTCAATAGGAATCTGCAGTTATTTGCAATGATTTTGGCCTTAATTTTATGCTTATTAACAGTGAATATATATTACATGTTATTTACGGGTTCTTTAGATGTGACCATTCATTCGGCACAACTGCCAGACATGGATCTACTTGTAATATAAATATTCTTATACTTTAATTTTTATTAAACTATTAATTTATTACAGATTTGGCACAAATCGGATGCCTATTCAATAGTATGTGTGGACCGGGACTGCGATTGCGAGACAGGTATAGAATTTATATCTAGAGAGAGAATATATTGAGGCAAAACATTAAAAATACTATCGCTATTGTCAGACATCCATAACGATAATAATAACCCGAATTGGAATCACGAATGTCTGAATTGGAAGAATAAATCGGTTTCAATCTTAAGTAAAGTGACATTTCTTGTATACGATGCGGATCACGGCCACGACGACGACTTCATCGGTGGTGTCAGTCTCTCTGTCTATCAAATGCTTATCTATGGATATAATGGCAAAGATGTGATCCTAAAATGGGATAAACCATACGCTGGGAGTCTTGCTATTAAAATGAATTGGTGGCCAAAAATGTTTCAACTATTCACTCATTTTGTGTAAAATCATCAATAATTGTGATTTTTATTGTAATATCTATCGATAATTTGTGTTTTAATATATTTTACAATTAAATATTTACATATTAATAAAATAATTATATATAATATTCATTTTAAACTCAATATTTCAAGTCATGTGATCTCCAAAAGCCGTCACAAGAATTTTTATATTCGTTTTCAATAATTCTGTAGTTTTTGGGATTTAACTCCAAATATCTAACCGAAGGATTCGTTATTCTTGTATCGATAGCTTCTGGCCATTCAACGTCTGAAACTTGTGGCGGTTTTCTATCAATTATTTAAGTAATTTTTAAAAATAAATTTATAAAATATTTTATTCAAATTAAATTCATACCCAGTTTTTGCAAATGTTGTCCAAACTTGAATGAATGTCTTCGCTAAGTGTCTCTCGTTTAAACTATAGGCTGACGGCTGTCGGAGTGAATCTCCAAACACATACCTAATATCATCTCCGTGTTGAACACCCGTCCAGTTATCTCTTGTAGTAAATGTTAATTTATAAGCATATGCTCTGCTATTAGTCGACAATTTGGATCCAAATTTGATTGTCGGACACGTCAAGTGATAGTCACCGAAAGCGTTGGCCACCGCGTGCTTAAGTTTCACTCCGTCCGCATCCGTCAAATGTTTTGTATAAAAATCGACGATATCTTTAGCGTAAGAGACTTTCATCACTTGAAATATCAATTGTATGAGAAGTCTTGCTTTCGAGAGATTAAGAGAATCGTCGGGACTGCTGGCACTCAATTCACTAAATCCCAAGTTTGATACAAATCCCGATCCCTCGTCATTACACGTACCAAACAGTAGACTAATGTTTTTCCTTTAAATTATAATTTTTAAAATTAATATAATTTTGAATTTAATTACTTTCTGTATAGAATAAATAATAATTACCTGAATTCTCCTTTTTCTAGAGCTATCGACGGTTTAATTGGCAATAATTTATCGCCAAATATTGGTGTAAAGAATTGATTATTAAATCTCATATTATTGCAAATAGTGGTCATTTGTTTTGGATCAGCGGCTCTAAGACATGAAATATTGATTTTATCGTTTAAAATATCGAAACAATTCAATTGTTTGGCTAATTCTTGTGCTTTAATTAACGCCAATTCTTTGGTCTCACTTCCAAGATATGAGTCGACGGATCCGCTTTGCATTATAGCTCTTGAAAATAGATTTTGATCCTTCATTAGTATGAGTGCCGATACAGTCATACTTCCGGCGCTTTCTCCAAATATTGTAACAGAATCGGGATCTCCGCCAAAAAATTCAATATTTTGCTCAACAAATTTTAATGCAGTTATTAAGTCAGTGAAGGCCTGATTTCCAGCCGCCTCTTCGCTGCCATCGTATAGGAAACCAAACGCTGAAAGTCTGTAATTGGCTTCAACCACAATAACGTCGCCCACAGCCGACAGATATGTGGCATTAAATTGATCGCTAAATATGGATCCAGTTATAAAACTTCCGCCATATATCCAAAACATGACACTTTTCTTCATATATTTGGTGTCATTATTGTACTGATTGTGCGGAACGTAGACATTGAGAAATAAACAATCTTCGTTAATGTTATCGGCTTCGGGTTGCATACATGAAGAACGAGCTGAAGAATCATATATTTATATTGATAAACATAATTACTATAAGATTAAGTTCTGACCATTTGTTGCGTCCCAAACACCACTCCACGGTTGAGCGGGAAGTGCTGTCTTGAATCTGAGGTCTCCTATGGGAGGTCTTGCGAACGGAATTCCTTTAAATACAGATATCGTTTTATTTTCTTCTTCAATGAATGCATCGCTTCCTCTGATTTGTCCCAAACTTGTTGTTACAATAACTGAATTTACAAAACCATTATTTATTACATAAAACATACAAATAAAAAGATATAATGATTTCATTTTGATTCAATTTATAAGAACTTTATAAAAGGAATTGCTTTTTATATAAGATTCAAGAATTTAAAGCATATAATTGTCAGCACTTTTTGTTTGTGTACTCGAGACTGAAGATCAGTTCAAAGCTCTTCTCGCTTAATCTGATGAAGTCTTTGTTCAACTGTACATATCTATTGAAAAATTAGAAATAATGATTTAAACAAATATATTAAACCAATATGAATCTCAAAATAAGATCCCATCGACCAATTTATTTAATGATAATATATTTTAATCATTAGTTCTGAGATTAAGAATTTAATACTTGTTTTTATATAACATTAAACGTGAAATTATCTGTAAGTACTGTTAACTTTACAACCAAAATATCTTTCTAAGGAAGTCAATACTGAATTTCAATATAACCAACTTT